TCAGTGCCCTCATCCTGCACCCAGCCTCCCCAAATTCCAGCTTGAGATCCACCTTCAGTCCCTCCGTCTGTCTCGCAGCATCTGCAGAACCAATCCGCAATTCCACCCCAGGAAATACTCTCAGAACTGGCTCCCCTCCCTCCTCCCTGCAGCCCTCCAGGCCCTGGCCGTCTGTTGCCATGTCTGCAGCAGGAGCCCCAGCATCTGAGGTTCTCCCTGGCCTGCTTGGGGGCAGGGAGGGGAGACTAGGAAGGGAGGGATGCCCCAAAAGGCAGCCGGATCAGTCCTGGTGGGGAAGGCCCCAAGACAGCCCAGACACACCTGCTGGGAACCACCCCAGCCTAGGGCTAGGGAGCGGGTGTATCCACCAGCCTCCTCCAGCTTCACCTGATGGTGGCACATCCGGGCCTGCCCATGGGCTGCAAAGGCTCTAGTCACCATCTAATGCTCTCATGTAGAGTCGCAGGTGTGGCCCTTGGAAGCCAGTGTCTCTGTGTGCGAGGAATGGTGAGGGCTGGAGGAAATGGGTAGGTTCCTTCTAAAGAGCCCTACAGTGGGTCGAAGGGTGGCCCCCAAAAGGCACATCCACGTCACTCCTGTGAATGGGACCTTACTTGGAAATGGGGTCTTTGCAGATGTGATTAAGTGAAGGAGGAGATGAGGTCATCCTGGATGAGGGTGACCCCAAATCCAATGACAGTGTCCTTATCAGAGACAGAAGAGGAGACACAGACACAGAGGAGAAGCCATGTGGAGACGGAGGCAGAGATGGGAGGGAGGCGGCCAATAGTCCAGGGACGCCTGGAGCCCCAGAAGCTAGAAGGGGCAGGAAGGACCCTCCCCTGAAGCCTCTGGAGGGAGCACAGCCCTGCGACCTCTTCATCTCAGATGTCTGGTCTCCACAACTGGGGGAGCAGGAATTCCTATAGTTTAAGCCCCCCAGTTTGTGCTAATTTGTTACAGCAGCAGCTGGAACTAACCAACCCCAGGACCCAAGTCCCCGGTATCAATGGGCAAGAGCTGTCCTACTGTTCATCAACCCACCCCTCCATGCCTGTCCACGCACAGAGGTGTGTGTGACGGATATCCTTGCACAGGGCCCCACACTTGGGTTAATGCTTCCCTGGCGCCATCTTGAAATTGTTAATAATATCATATTAATCTCCCTGGTAACAAAGTATCACAAGCTGGTAGCTTGAACAATAGGAATCTATTCTCTCCCAGGTCTAGAGACCAGAAGGATGGGCAGTGTTGGCTTCTTCTGGAGGCTCTGACAGAGAATCTGTCCCATGCCTCTTCCCCAGTTTCTGGTGGATGCTGGCCATCCTTGGCTGGAGACGCATGACCTACATCTCTGCCTCCATCTGCCCACAGCCTTCTCCTCTCTCTGTGTGTCTGGTGGCCACTGGCCATCCTTCATGCTCCTTGGCTGTAGCCCCATCACCCATGTCTCTGCCTCCATCTGCCC